CGCAACGCATGCATGAAACATATGGATCCCGTATAAACAAAGATGACGATGACGACTTTGACTGCAGCGCAGATCAACGAGTACAAACTGAGGCGTTACCAAGCTTTAATTAGGTATTTTTGTATGTGACTGGAAAGTATCGAAAGAGTCACCGGTCAAACCTCATACTTGTGATTTCCATTATGGACAACATCAAAAGTTCAATGTGATAACAAACTTAATTCCTTTAGTTTTTTCCCTAACTCCTCCCACTGAAACTTAATTGATAAATATTGATCATGGCGTCAGACTACATTCACCATTAAATACAAATTGATAATCGGACAGTAGTGTCGCATAGCAGTTGGTTCTAGGTCCATGCCCTGAAATTGACCTCATTTGAGGCACATATTTACACTCGGACCAAAAAATTTTCTCGTCTTGGATGTTTTTTTTTAAATTTTCTGTTATTTTTGTCTATGATTGGATAGAAAAAAAACGAGCTACAAATACTCCAAGATTTTTTTTGACTTCATTAAAAAATAAAATCGTTTTTTTGTAGGATGGACACTTTTTGAGGTCACCCCCCACCCCAAACTAAAGCAAATAAGTTTTTTTATCCGATATCGATCTTTCAATGTCGTCCCTTAGATTGTGGGAAAGGCAATGTTTATCAACACAAATGTCGCACATGCGCAGCGCGACGACCACCACCCTTTAAAGCATTGCGCAATTTCTACTGAATACAATTAGTAAACAATCTGTTTATACATTTCCTGTGATATGCTATTAATCACAATTAATACTGCAACGTCGTGTGAACCAAATGTGCGTACATGTCAATGTGATAACAATATTACAAATAATATTAATACATTGAAATGAAAATAAGAATTTATGTTTCACCATGTACGGATGTAATTCTTTTTTTGTATAAGGGAAATAAAGTTGTAGTGTAAATCGCATGTCGCTTCATTGTAGCTGGTCAGTGAGCACTTGCAGAAGCAGTCTCGATTCTAGCTATATGGTTCCAATTATGAATGAATGCTCCATCTACAAAACTATCATTATTTGCGATCGACAGAAAATATCGATTCCGAAAGTCCGTGTAGTTCCGTGTGTACGCATTGACAGTCTCTGCTTTGCGTTTTTGGTGTTACGTCACGATGTACTCGTGAATATGCAAGTAGTGTACTTTGCAAGCACAGTGGCCCTAGATTCAGAAGTGCCAAATCGCCTATATAACAAAAATTATAGTAACGGTCTCGGTTGCCAAGTCACTTGAAAGCTTATGTAAACAAATAACTACTAGTGTATGTAATGTGGTAAATAAAAAAAATTGAATGAAACAGCAGAGAATTCTTTATTCGAAAATATCTTGCTGCTACTTTAATATAAAAATGTCCTAAGCAGAACTCTAAAACAAAATTTGGGAGTATTATTATTGAGTATTATCTCAAGAAGAATTATAGTCCATGAGCCGCAGCTTTTTGGAGAACCTTAGTACAAAAATATAGTTAAGAGCCCAAAAATATTAATTACGTCATGAATAGTCGATAATCATTAAATTGCAACTTTCCTCTGCAAATGCAAGGTCCAAATTAAAGCTTAAAGGAAAAAGTCAATCCTGTCAATATTGTTGGCCACATAATGCTCTTCAATGTCATTAGTTGTGCATTTTTATTTGCACAAGTTTAATTTAAATATTTGCACATCATCATTTTCATCCATTGAAAGAAAACCAGCCCGAGTAATCAATATCCATCCGTCATTTATAAAATCGGCGCCGTTTAATGTGTTACGTTTCGTTTGTTTCCAGTGAACAATGCAGCAAGAGGCTATCACAGTCCTTAGACTTACTCAAAAAGAAACCGAAGATCTTAAAGTAGGAGTAAATCTTGTCAATGGACCCTCCGACAAAAAATTTGCTATCTACAGACCAGCGGAGTTGACTGATGGAGAGGAAGGAGAGAATATAGGAATACGAGCCTGCATGAATATATGCAAACATCAAGGCGGCACCTTCATAAAAGACATCGAAGATCTGGATTCAAGGTATTCTTGCCTACCTATTACACATCTAAGCAATACGCCTCGGTCTTTGTACACTTGGTCTAAAATACTTGACTAATTTATTGCATTGGTACGGGTACTATGAATTTCATTGCATCTGCAGAACCAGAGTGTCAAATTCGATTTTAATTCAGCTATATTCTGATGTAAGGAAGCATTTAGGTATATCCATTTAGAGCCAAACGTTATCCAAATTGAATCATCTCTGCAATTTACATGTCCAAGAGTACAAAACTTCTGCAAAATTTCTGCAAGAAACCTTTGGTTTACAAGTGGCACTGTAATCATTTTAGATCACGTGTGCAACTGTGTTACATATTCAACCACAAGTTCATTATCTACCAAAAAATATTTTGAATGCTAAATCTACTCTGCAAAACAACTGCTTTAATAGAAAGCAATGCTATTTTACATACTTGTTATAGCATACGAGTCGGGAAATGTATATATTAGAGTAGGTAGGAGAGAATGGGATATTGCGCATAAGGGTAACCTAAAAGTTCAGCAGAATATATCATTGGAATATAATCACTAAATTTAAGATAATTGAAGCAGTAGCAATTAAAGTTACCTCGCCTTGCCATGCCTGGAGTATGTACATGTGACTATTCCACTACATCACTGGAACCACTTGCCCGATTTCAATGAAACTTGGTGCATAATGAATGCAGCTTAATAATGTGCAGACTTGATTAGGGTTTAGTTTAAATCCTTGTTAATAATTACTTAATTTACATAAAATTTAATTTAACTTTACCATTCACCAGTTTTCTTTTAAACTCTGTATAATGTATAATTTACGGAACTAATGAATTATTAGGGATGAACTCCATGCGTGTCTCGTAATTACCATAAATTGCATAAATGGGGACATTTTCTAATCTCGCAATAACCAATCATTGAATCTTCAGATTTAAATGCAACTTACTGTAATATAGGTGCTCTAGGTGAATCCACAGATGCGAATACCGTTCATATTAATTACCTAATAATTACCTGTTTTGCATAAATTGGTATCTCGATAAAACTCAACACGTGATTACTTTAGAACTGAAATCATTGCATATTAATTGCATAGTCTGCAAAAATGTTGATATCTTAACTTCCCATTACATTTAAATTAAACTTGGTTTTTATGAGATAAAGCGCAGATGTACAATCGGATGTATTCCATTGGTTATACATGTAATAATGTCCTGTTAATAGTATTACCTTCAATATTGTGGATCAGATTGTTTTCTCATTGTTCGCCTCTTATTCAAATAATATTCCCCACTTCTCGTGTGCCTCAAATACCCTTTAATCCTTCTATGTTTGTTTTCATCCTTTCAGTGTGCTGAGATGCACTAAACATGGATGGAGACTGGACTGCCAAACAATGCAGTACGTCAATCCTCCAAATAGCTTCAGACAAGAGGAATTAAGTAAGTACATATTTACATTACATTAAAAAATAAGTCATAGTCGCACCATGCCGATTATTACTCATTTTGCATATTTATAACATTGTGTTATCGTGATTGCTCTTCTTTGTCAGTTCCAGAATTCGGAGAAGATGGTGGCTTGAAATTGGTGGAGTTAAGACCACCACAACCATGGCAACAAGACCCACGAAATGCACTTGAAATAAAACCCGGCGAGGTAGAAGTAAGTTGTGCATTACATAAACTGTATTTTGTGTAGTTCAGTTCTTTGGATGCCAAGTTACTGGGCACAGCTCGTCAGTGTCAATTCAACCATAAAAAGGGATGTGCGGTGATATTCAAATCAGTTGTTCGTTGGACCTTTTGTTAGTTTTTTTTTTAAATTTAACACATTTCCTTGAATATTACCTTTCTGAAATGTCTTGTTATGATGTATCAAACGTTTCTTGTTTTTTCGAATATATCGAAAGTTTAAAAACAGTCATCTAATTGTTGATGATCGACTGTACACTCGTTCTCCCTGTTGCATGCGAGATCGACGCCGCCGCGCTTACTGTTTGGTAACATTAAAAGTCGAAATTCTAGTTATTTCACTTTGGCTTGTAATACAAGCTCAGATTTAAAAAAAAGTACATCACATCCATGTATAGGAGATACATCCACTTGAACGAGTTTGTAGGCGTTTAGTTTGTAGAATAGAATTCCACATAATGTTGTAGAGTTCCATTCCATCTCAAACTTCCATTTCAGACACTGAATTTCATGTTCGGATGTTATGCAATTGACAAGTAGTTACTGTAATTTTACAGATACAAATTGACAAGTAGTTACTGTAATTTCACAGATACAAATTGATAAGTAGTTACTGTAATTTCACAGATACAAATTGACAAGTAGTTACTGTAATTTCACAGATACACATTGACAAGTAGTTACTGTAATTTCACAGATACAAATTGACAAGTAGTTACTGTAATTTCACAGATACAAATTGACAAGTAGTTACTGTAATTTCACAGATACAAATTGACAAGTAGTTACTGTAATTTCACAGATACAAATTGACCAGTAGTTACTGTAATTTCACAGATACAAATTGACAAGTAGTTACTGTAATTTCACAGATACAAATTGACAAGTAGTTACTGTAATTTCACAGATACAAATTGACAAGTAGTTACTGTAATTTCACAGATACAAATTGACAAGTAGTTACTGTAATTTCACAGATACAAATTGACAAGTAGTTACTGTAATTTCACAGATACAAATTGACAAGTAGTTACTGTAATTTCACAGATACAAATTGACAAGTAGTTACTGTAATTTCACAGATACAAATTGACAAGTAGTTACTGTAATTTCACAGATACAAATTGTTATAACTGCCACAACTCGGCTGACTTTAAACTGATACGTTTATGCAGTTGAAATATTCAGTGTTGCAAGCATCTGACTATAGTTTATTATATACATACATACATACGGAGCTTGTATCTTTTCAATTGTAACCGGATAAACTTTTTTTTCTATTTTTTCCAGGTGACGTATTTTTCACATGCGTGCGTTGAGATGAAACTCGGCGAGGTGCGAATGTTCACTGATCCCTGGCTGACAGGTCCGGCGTTTGCACGTGGGTGGTGGTTGCTGCACGAGCCACCATGTGATTGGCTAGATCGGTTAGCGTCGACTGATTTCATCTACATCAGTCATCTTCATTCAGATCACCTAAGGTACCAGTAATTTATGTAATCTATACATGCGTATGCTGATTAAAACATGTACGTTTTAGAGTATTAATAACGATTAATCTGTCCCACACAAAAATAAACTCCCGTCATAAATATTGCCCCTGTGAAAATGATATTAAATCTTTTTATTCTGCATACATTCCTGTAAAACGTTATTTAGAACTTTTTATGCTACTTTGATTATATTTGGAGTACAATCGCGTTTTATCAGTCCAGACAGTCAGTTAGTCGTGAAACGCGCGTGTAAATAACTGCTCTCCATTATTTATTTTTTATTGGATTGATAGCCATCAGGGCAATCAAACTAATGTGACATATATTCACCTTATTGCTGTATGAAGAATAAGACAATTGTTTCGGTGACAATTGTATGTACATTGTATTTATAATAACATTCAGCTGCACGTACTTTACATTGTTTTGAACACATTGACCACGCCTATAATTTCCCGTATTGTTTCTTTTTTCGTGGAATATTTATGTATATGAATTAACGTGGGAAGCAGCATATGGGGCAGATTTGAATTAATTATGGGAGCTTAACTCTTGCCAAGTGTAAATTGTAGAAGTACCGCCCACTGCCGTAAAACAGATGACGTATCATTCTAGGATTAAGATAAATTCAGAAATATTGTTAATAATAACCCGCACATATGAGAACCATACTAAATGCTTTGAATAACTAAATTTAATTTTCAATATTGGCGTTTATCGGTGAAAACCGAGTCTCGTGCGACATTCACAGCGCATGTAAAAAAACAAACAATTCGTATTTGCCTCGTGCAACAACCACCTGCATCTAACATTGATGATTACAGTATCCCGCTTGAAATTGAGTTTTTAAATTCCTACAATGAAACAGTAGTGTAAATGCATATCGTTTTAGTTACCCTACCCTTGAACAACTATACAAGAGGAACCCGGATGTGCCAATATATGTGGGGGATGTGTCCACACCAGTGTTCAGCAAAATGGAGGAACATGGTGTCAAAATGAACAACATTACAGTACTGGAATTCGGTGTATGGAAGGAGGTTAGTATTAAATGATATATTTTTAATAAAATATTACAATACATGATTAATTGAATTGAATTGTCTCTGCATCGCTGCAAACCCCCTCTTTGTATTGGTCCCCTTTGTATACCTTTAGACTAAGCA